GCAGCGGCGGACAGCCTCGACGAGGCGGCGCTCCTCGTTCGCGATCAGCGCGCCCATGGCGTGGCTCCGTTCGAGATGTTTCCCAGCCTCCTGCATGCTGCCCGAGACGGGCGGCGAAGGCACCCGCCCCAACACGAGGAAGGAGGGAGCAGTGGGCTTTTTTTTTTTGAGAGCGCCTTCGTTGTTAATAGTACAAACCCAATGCAGTGTACTCGAGTACTGACCTACCTACCTACTAGAGTACTACTTGGTTTGCGATGAGAAGCGATCCGAATGTGGCATTCGGGTGATTAGATCACTACCGCCGAAACGCAAGAGCACTGCGACGGATCGCCTAATCCACCTCTTTTCATTGTAAGAGAGATTTTTACCAAATATGTCGGAGGGCTAGCTGCGTCTTATTTGCTGCCTTTTATCCTTTTGGACGCCTTCGCAAACGGTTGTGCGGGCTGTCGATTAATAAGACGGCTGCTTCTTCTTAGTCGCGCGTCCCCAGCCTCCCCAGCTCCCCACTGGACACCTACCGACCGTCATATTTGAGAGAGAGAGATTTTTAGCAATACCAAACAACTCTAACACTCACACGTCATTTGGGGCCTGGAGCCCTTCACGCGCGCGCGAGACGTGCAGACAGGGTTGCCAGGTGAGAGCGAATGGCGCGGTTCACGCCTCGCACAACAGAGAGAGAGATGCGCTCTGCATGGTGGGACATACTTGTAAAAGAGAGCGAGTACTTGGGCGAGTAGGTAGGCCGTGCGGTCAACGCTGCCGCGCGCGACTTTGCTACTAACTTTGCGCGCGAGGCGGCGCAGCTTGAGAACGGCGGTGGGCGAGAAGCCGCCGCCGAACGTCTCGTGGAGCAGCAGGTTGAAGTTGTTGCGCTTGACAAAGATCGCGTCGTGGTAGAAACCGCGATGCGCCTTGACGTAGCCGTGGCCGGTCTTGTGGGAGAAGGGTTGGCCGGGCTGCCCGCGCGCCGAGCGAGTGACGGATAAAGTCGTGTGAAAGAGCTGTGAAAGCGAAAGCAGCGAAATCAAATGCCCGCCGCAGGCGAAGAAAAATTTAGGGTTTTGGTCCCCTACGCCAAAGAAATCGAAGATCTCGGCGGGCGCCCGAGCCCGACGCGGTATGGAGCACGCGCTGCCCGGCATGCCTGCAGCATCCGAACGAGGCGCACGGCGTCGCTCAGCCGTGTCCACGCGGCTTCGCTCCTGTCCTAACCGGCGCCATCTGGGCGGCTGCTGCGGAGCTGCTGCCGGCGGTGCGGCAACTGGCCGACAGATACGACGCTTAGGGCACCCGCCGGCGATTCACTGGGAAAGGAACGAAGGCGCCGCTGTCGGCGATTCACCGCCGCTCGTTCCCGTCTCTCAAAGCTGGCTACACCGTCGATGCGCACATTGAGGCGCTCGTGGACGAGGGAGACGTCGCCTCCTCTTTTGTACCGGGGCACTGTTCGCGACAAACAATCTCTCTCTGTTCGCGCCGGCACGCACTGCCAAGTACATTAGCCTTCATCTCTCCTACCGCCAGCCGGGAGTGCAGCCGTCGCCATCACTGAGTGAGATTGTCCTCGACTTTGGCACCTGCGAAGTAATGAACAACATGCAGTACGTCATATGGCGCTATGACAGCCCTGCGATGGGCGTCCTATAGACGCAGACGAGGCGGAGCTCATCTGCGCGGCGCAGATCGCCGACTTTCTCTCTCTCCCTGCGCGAGTGGTTGCGCCACCCCCTGGATGAGGCATATGGGCTGGGAAGGGGAGTTGGTAGAGGAGGTCGACTGAGGGCGCGAGGCCGCCAATCGTCACAGTCTGATGCTGACTGTCGGTCACTGACTGGTTGCGCATTGCGCTGGCCGCGCAGCGGCCTTTAGAAAATTTTGGCCGCAGGCCTAGGTTTTGAAAGATCAAGAGAATAAGCGCCGGTGAGTCTTTCAGAAGCTGCCGTTTGCGGCTTCCTAAGTCAATTTTTCGAGAGGAACGTTTTGGCTAAGCTAGAGAACCTCTGCTTCTCCAAAGTCGCGCGATCATCGAGTTTTGAGTCAATGAGGATGAAAGGAAAGGGATAGGGAGAGTTCTAGCTTAGCCAATCGATTCAGCGTGCTCTGAAACGCCCAAAACCGTCGAGTTTTTCGCCATGGTCCAAACAGAGAGCTTAATATTTTGATTTTATTTTCTTGGCCACGGCCACGATTACCCGAGCGTCACTCGCTCCGCCTGGCAGCCCATGTTTAGGCGGCGGGCCTTCTCTTCGGTGTTGCCGAAGGCGTAGGAGTGGCCAACGGAGGCGGGCGTGCCGCCACTCGAGGCGTTGCCAACGCCCGGCGAGGAGGTCTTGAGGAGGGGCGTCCAGAGCTTGATCTCATTCACCTCATCGCATCCTCCCGGGCCAGCGTGGGGTTCCGCGAGGTCGACCTTGTACCCCTCGTTGTACTGCCGGGTGAGCTCTGGTTTCTCCTTGTCGCCGTGCACGACCGGCGCGTTGGCCGGGGCGCGCATCGCGTCCGCCCAGGCGGCGAGGACGCCGTCGTGGGGCCGCCGGTGGTGGGCCTTATTGTAAAGGTAGTCGCCGAAGAAATCGACTGGCATGCCCCGCTCGAGCGCGACCCGAAGGGTGGGAAGCGCCGCGGAGAGCCAAAGGCCGAGCTTTCGCTGGAGCTCGTCCTGGAGGGTGTCGGAGGAGAGGGCGGTGGCGTACGTACCGTCGACACGGACATCGAAGGCCTTGCCGGCGAAAGGCGTTGAGGCGGAGATGAGGCGCGTGACTTCGCGGTTGTTGACGGCGCTGTCTCCGGGGGACGGGTTGTTCTTGACGTGCGCATCCCGCGCCTTGACGAGCTCCTGGTGCGCGTACCAGTCCTTGTGATTCTTGATGGCAGCGAGCGCCCGCGGCCGCGGGTACGTGGATTTGCAAGTGCCATTGAGAATCGCGTCGGTAGCTGGAAGGGACTCGGGCTCGGGGAGCGGGACGCTCTTGGGGTAGAACTCAGTCAGGTAGCCGCCGCGGACGGTGTAGTACTTGTTTTTGTCGCGGGCGGTGCGCTTCTCGCACACCTCCTTCCAGTCCGAGAGGGCGGACTCGTAGGTGGCGATAGCTGCGGCGATGGCGGGGTACTTGGACGCACCTCCCTCGTCGTGGGCGAAGTCGGGGTTGTGGGCGACGAGGGTGCGCCAGTTCTTGAGGAGCGACATGGAGAAGTCGCTGTCGGCTCGCGAGAAGGCGGTGTCGATGACGATGTTGCACACACCCATCTCGGTCGGCGTTTTTGTTTTGTTTCAGTGTTGTAGCTCTTACGCTTTTTCGCTGAATTTGACGCGAGGATGGCTCCAAACTCGCCAGAGCGAGCTAGCGATCTACCTGCGTTGGGCTCACTAGCCAGTCGTCTTTCTTGTTCTCTTCTCACAAAATAAAAAGAAAAATCGTAGTCACCAGTCACCAGGGGACTTCGTGAACTGAAACAACCGATTTTACACGTCGGTTAGGTTATAGGAAGGTGAAGAACAGCCAGGCTCGGACTGGACACCAACGCGGTATAGGTGGACGCTGGACAGATGATGAAAAACAAACTAACATCAGCTAACATCTGACTCTCAGATGATGACGACACGCACGAGCGACACACAGACACAAACAGGCTCACAAGACACACAGCCAGTTGGCTGCCACACCTGAGTTTCCCCTTCCTCAGGGCCACGTCCCCACTGTCGCCCCCCCAAGCAGCAATCAAAGAGATATATTTGCCACTTTCCGCACAAACATGGCACAAACCCCCAGCTGAAGCTCTCGACTCGTCGACCGAGCTCTGGACGATGCCGACCTCAAACCACCAGCGCCAGCAACGACGTGCCACGGCTCGCCGCGCCGCTGTTGCGACCGACGACGTGCCCGACGCCGTCCCGCGGCCGAAAGGAAGAGGCCCGCGCAACCACTTCTGGGACCCGCGGCCGCCGGGCGTGCGGCGGCACAACGAGTCGAACGAACCGAACCAGCGCAGAGCGGCGCGTCTCGCGAGCGCCCGCGGCCGCCACGCCGACGCCGTCCGCGGCCGACGGTGGTCGCGAATCAACGCGGCGCGGTGCAACGAGGCCAAGTCCTTCCAGGCTCCCGCCAGCAGCGCCTCGTGGCGTGGGCTGCACGGCCCTTCGAGACGGCCCGGGGGGCGGTGAGAGACCTCTCCCGCCGGCATGGCGCACTATATCACCCGTAGAGGCCTCTTTATAGTCGCCTTTTGGCACCTCCTCTCTCCACGCCGCCGATTAGACCTCGCCGCATCGCATCGCCCCCTTCCCTGCCCCGTCGCCCTCCTGAGCTCTCCCTCCTTCGCTCCAGCCATGCACAGGACAGCTGGGCCATTGGCCCGCGTGCCAGGCGTCCGGGACGGCCGGGTATCGGCTCCGTACTTTGAGCCCTCTTGGGCCACCCTCGCGTCCACCGGCCGGCAGAGCACCGCTTGGGCGACTCAGACGGCCCGCCCGACCAGCGCGTTCGATCGTGCCGCCCCCACAGCGTCAGTGGCGTGCGTGGGGTGGCAGGCGGCGTCAGCGCAGCCCCTCGTGGGGGTGCCCACCGCTCTCCTCTCACCGCTCCCCCCCGCCCGTGGCACCCCACACACTCGTCCCTCCTCAGGGGCGCAAGGCGGCACGGCACGTTCAGCGCTTGCCTCGGCCCACCTCGCCTTCACGCCCGCCACCGCGACCAAGGAGGTGGCCTCGGCGGCCCAGATGAAGCCCGTGCGGCTCGTTTGGGAGCCGCATGCCGTCCCTCTCTCGCCGGCGCTGCTCACCACGACCAAGCCTACGCCGAGGAACCCGTCGCGCCCGTCGCTCACGAGCTGGTGGCTCGCATCGACCGAGCCGTCCAGCTTTCTCACGCCCTGCCCACGATCAAATTCGAGACGACCAACATCCGACCACAAAAAAGGCCCGCGCGTGCTGCGCGGGCCGGCGAGCGACTAGCGAGCCAACCTGCTAGTGCACGAATAAAATCCGCCGCGCAATGTTCGACGACGGCCCTCGCGGCCGGCGAGTCGCGCTCGGCGGCGCCTCCCGTGGCGCGAGCGGCCGCTCGAAGCAGGCACTCCTTGAGGAAAGCCGCCGCAAGCGGGGCGAACGCGAGCGCGCAGTCGCGCCCAGCCGCGCTGCGCTCGTGCTCGGCCGCCACGCCCGCGGATCCATCTGCCGTGCCGCGGTGGCCACGCGGCTGTGCGAGGCTCTGTCTCGTGACGTCGCCCAGCAATCGTCCACCGCCCTAGAGCCCGCGGCAGCGCTGTCACTCGTGCGCCGCCTAACCTGGTTGAACCGCATCCGACCCTCGCTGGCGGACGCCGCGCTCGTCGAGGCTGTGGCCCGCACCCTCCTGGAGGGGCAGCGATGCGGCGAGCCCTTCCTCGCCGCCCGGTGCGTGTGCGATGGCGGCGGCCGCTGGGAGCGCACCGCCCCGCCTCTGGTCCCGCCTCTGCTCCGGGCTGCGGCCAGCCAGCACGCCTCGGTCCAGCTCCTGCGGCTGCTGCTCGACCCTCCTGCCGCAGCCCTGCCGCCTTGCTGCGCGACCCGCGCGGCGTCGGAGGCGCGTAGATTACTGGACAGGTGCGCGCCCGACTGCATGTCTGGGTTCGGGAAAGCGCTCGCTGAGAGCAGCGGCCGCGGCGGCGGCGGCGGCGGCGGCGGCGGCGGCGGCGGCGGCGGCGGCGGCAGCGCGGCCCCTCTGGTCGTGCTCGCCGGCCTCCTGCGCACGGCACTGCGCTGCGAGGGCCGCGGGGCAGCCGACCCCGTCGCCCCGCCCTCGGCTTGGTCCGCCCTCGCCCGCGCGGTGTGGCCGCCAGCCCTGTGCGCGCAGCCGCCGCAGGCTGCGGGCCGCGCGGCGCTGCGTGCGCTCTTTGCCGGCTGGAGCGAGGCGGCGCTGCGTGCGCTCACGCTCGCCGTTGCGGACGCGTTGCGCGGCTGGCAGGCGAGCGGGCTGCTCGCTGGCTCGGACTCGCGCCACGACAGCGCAGCGGTCCTGGTCGAGGCGGTGCGGCTGTGCGCGGCGGGGCGTGGTTGCGACTGGCGGCCGGATGGCTGGTGCGAGGGCGGGCCGCGGCTCTTGCCACCCTCTGAGCTTCAGCTGCTGCCGCGTGCGATGGCCGCGCGCCTCGTGGCGACGCTAAGCGCGCAGGGCGTGCCGGCGAGCGAGACGAACGCGTCGCTCGCCCTCGCTCGCGCGCGGTGGCAGCCCGCCGCCGCCGCGAAGGCGCTCGCCGAGGAGGCGGCCGCGGCAGCAGAGGCGACGTCGGAGGGCGGCGGCGCCGCTGCGCCGGGCAGTGTGTGCGGCATTTGCTTCGAGCCGCCCGCGCCGCCGGCGGAATTGCTGTCGCTGCGGTGCGGCCACGAGTTTTGCTCCGACTGCTGGGGCGGGCTGATGACGACGGCGCTGCAGTCGGGCGCAGGATGCATCCACACTCGGTGCCCGCAGCCCGACTGCCCCGTCCTCCTCCCGGCGGAGCTGTGGCAGCGGTGTCTGCCCGCCGGCACCGCCGCCGGCGCGTGGAGCATGCTGCACCTCCGCTCCTTCGTCGACGCAAACGCGCTGCTCTGCTGGTGCCCCTCCGCTAGCTGCTCGACTAATTAACACTAATTAACACGAATTAACACTAATTAACACTGATTAACGCTAATTAATAGGTGCCCCTCCGCGAGCTGCTCGACTAATTAACACTAATTAACACTGATTAACACTAATTAATAGGTGCCCCTCCGCGAGCTGCTCGACGGCGGCTGCCCTCGTCACCGAGTCAGCCGCCGATGTCGCGTGCTCGTGCGGCACTCGCTTCTGCGGCCTGTGCGGAGCGGAGCCGCACTGGCCCGCCGCGTGCGCCGAGCGGAGAGAGTGGCAGCAGCTGCTGCACCAGTCGCCCGACGCGCAGTTCCTGCTGCTGCACACGCGGCCCTGCCCCTCGTGCGGTGCGCGCACGCAGCGCGACAAGGGGTGCATGCACATCACTTGCACCAATTGCTCGGCCGAGTGGTGCTGGGCCTGCGGTCAGACGGGCAAGCGCGGACAGGTGCACCACGTCCACGCCTGCACCCGTGCGCCCGACGCGTCCTGGGCCTTCCAAAAGGAGCAGGCGCGCGTGCTCGACGGATCCTTCGCCGCCGCCTTCGACGCCGCCGCCTACCGCGCCGAGCTGGCCGAGCTGCTCGCGCCCTCGGGAGACACGCCGCCGCCGCCGCTGGCGGCGGCGGCGGGGCGGGGGCTTCCGGACGGCCTCCGCCCGACGCTGCGTTGCGCGATGGAGCTGCTACAGTGGGCGCACGTCTTCACGTACTTCAACGTGCACCGCGGCGCTTCGGCCTCCGCCGTCCCCCCACTGGTGCGCCTCGCGCTCGCGCAAGTCGAGAGGCACTCAGACGTCCTCCTCGCGCTCGCCGAGCCAGCCGTCGGCGGCGGCAGCGGCGATGAGGCGAGTGAAGCAAGCCCGTCTAGCGGCGTGGCCGACGGCGTTGTCGACGACGTCCCCGACCGCCTGAGCTGGCTCGTCACGTGCATGCTTTACCTGCGCTCAAACCTAAAGCAGGCGCCGCCAGCGGCACCGGGAGGCCCGAGCTCCTCTCGGTGAACAATGACAAATATTGCGAACGCCGCGCCCACGCGCCACGGCCCAGGGCAGGGCGTTTTGAGCTTCCTTTGGGTTTGGCACCAGAGAACAGTTTGTACGACACAGGCTTGTGTTTCAGTCTGTGTACTGAACTAGTGTGATGTGGCTCAGAGCTTGCCCACTCTGGTCTCTGGCACTCACTCACTCTCACGTCTCAGATTTGACATCAAAATGAGAACATTGTGAACGAAAGGAGGGTGGCCCACGCTGCACACATAGAGGTGAGAGCATATTAATTATATTTATTAGAGCCAGTTTTTGCCACTTCGGTTAGCTCTTATGGGTCCGATATCGAGACCCAAATATCTGACCCCGGAAATAGAGGCCATGAGAGCAGTTTTTGCCAATGCTTCGCCTTCGGGGTCTCTAATAAAGCCTGCGCCCGACGGGGCAATCCAAGCGCAGGCCCCGCACGCGGCCCTGCTGCCCTCCCGTCGGCTGAAATCGACCAGGCCCTCGCCGTGGGCCGAACGACGCACCGGCCGATTGTTTGAGCAATGGCCTGTGCTGCGGCCATCTCGGACGTTCAAGCGGCGCCAGCCAGCGGCTCGGCCGCGCATCCTTCACACACGCCGCCACGACCGGGATGAGAGGGCCCGGTGTCGAGCCCTGGTGCGAGCTTCATGTGAGGGGCGGCTGTGGCCACAGCAGGTCCACCAGATGGATCTCAAAAGCTTGCCGTCGGCGTGCTGTCGTGGCGGTGCCCGACACGCATTGAGAGGAGCCGAGAAAAGCAGCGGATGTGGGGCTTCCACGGCTGCCAAGTGGTGGTCCATGACCATTCTGAGCAGGGCTGTGCTTTGGTGGGGCTGTGCTTGAGCATGTGTGAACTGGGAGTGCGTGCCGGCGGTGTCTGTGGGTGAAACAGGCGTGTGTGAGGCTGCAAGAGCCGTGGTATGAGCCAGAGTGAGCTTCATCACCCAAAGTAAGGACGGTCTGGGACAGCCCAGGCTTGATCCTGATGGGCCTGGGCCAGGAGAGCGACAGAGAAGGCGAGCTGGCGAGCTGGGAAGCCGCTTCGTCGGCATGGGGTGTGCGTGTTCACACGAGAGAGAGATGCAAGTGCCAAAAAGCGTTGTTTGCGGCTATTGCTCAAATCTGTGGGAGAGAAGGCCTACATATTATGACTGCATCCATGCGCCTAATGCATGAGGGCTGTGGGTCGGGACATATCACGGTCGGTGGCGCCGATGATGACCTCCGGAAAGCCCTCACAATTGCTCGGCACAGGGCCTCCGGGAGTGCTCTCGAGCCCTACACCGGAGCATCACGAGCCGGTATGAGCTTGAAGACCCAAAACAAGTGCGGTCTGGGACAACTCAGGCTTGCTGCTGGTGGGCCTGGGCCAGGAGAGCGACAGAGAAGGCGAGGTGGTGAGCTGAGAGCAGGAAATAGCGCTTCGTGGCACTTGCTTTCCCGGCGACAAGGTCATACGCGGACTCTCCTGTCTCTCGGCTCACCACCTCGCCATCTCTGTTGCTCTCCAGGCCCAGGCCCATCCGTAGCAAGCCTGAGGTGTCTGAAACCACACTTATCTTGGGTCTTCAAGCCCACATTGGCTCGTGATGCCACGGAGAGGGCTCGAGATTGTCCCCGGTAGACCCCATCCGAGGCGATTGCGAGGGCTTTCCGGAGGTCATCATCGGCGCCAACGACCGCGATACGTCCCGTCCCGCAGCCCTCATGCACCAGAGTCATGGGTACAGTCATAATATGTAGGCCTTCTCTCCCACAGTTTTGAGCAATAGCCGCAAACAACGCTTTTTGGCACTTGCATCTCGTGTGAACACGCACACCGGCCATGCCGACGAAGCGGCTTCCCAGCTCGCCAGCTCGCCTTCTCTGTCGCTCTCCTGGCCCAGGCCCATCAGGATCAAGCCTGGGCTGTCCCAGACCGTCCTTACTTTGGGTGATGAAGCTCACTCTGGCTCATACCACGGCTCTTGCAGCCTCACACACGCCTGTTTCACCCACAGACACCGCCGGCACGCACTCCCAGTTCACACATGCTCAAGCACAGCCCCACCAAAGCACAGCCCTGCTCAGAATGGGCAAGGACCACCACTTGGCGACCCAGGTAGCCTCTGGCTCGCCACTGCACTCGGCTCCTCTGCAGCGGTCTCGGGCTCTCCCCACGACAGCACGCCGACGGCAGCTTTGACGTCCATCTGGTGAACCTGCTGTGGCCATAGCCGCCCCTCGCATGCAGCTCGCACCAGGGCTCGACACCGGGCCCTCTCATCCCGGTCGTGGCGGCGTGTGTGAAGGATGCGCGGCCGAGCCGCTGGCTGGCGCCGCTTGAACGTCCGCGGCGTCAAGATGGCGACCATCTGAGTGGCCGAGACTGGTCGCCACAACTGCACCTCTACGGACTGGCGGTGCGGGACAGAGATGCGGCTGTTGGCCGCCGTGACAGTTTGGGGCAGCACAGTCAACGATAGAGGGTGGGGTCGCTTGGGGGAGCGAGTGCGCGCCGGGTTTGCTTGGCCATGCGCACTGGGCCTCGCAGCTCGCACTTTGACTTGCCGTGGCGGTAGCGTTTCTGGTCAGGTTCTCTGGCCATGTTGTGTGTGTGGATGTCTTTACCTGATCTTACTTCAGAGAGTTTAGGAAGCGTCTATGAGCAAATGGCAAGTCGGAAACGTGGAACAGGTTCGTGGCGGGACGGCGCCCGCTTTTTGTCCTGAGCGCCCTCGACACATTCCTCTCTGAGCGGTTTGCTCACACACTTACACGCAAAAGCACACGCGGCGCAAGAGCCGCGGAGGACGGCGTCACCGGGAGGCACAAGAGCAGCTGAAGCGCGCTCCAAGGCCTGGTGGTGTGCCGTTTTTGTCGAGGCACGCCATCACGCCGCGAGCGTCGCACAGGGTGACAGTGCCGGTCCTACGCTCCAGCGAGGTCGGCGTCGTCTTGGCATTGAGTGTTGACGGCGTTGCGGCGACAGGTGGTAGCGGCTTGGTCGAGGCGCAAAGGCTCCATGGCCGACAGAAGCTGGGAGGCAGCTCTTTGCACCCGCACGGCACTCACATCGCTTCGTAGGTCCCTTCATGAGACACCGTGCGAATCAGCGCTCGGCAGGGCGATGATGCTCACCACTCCGTCAGCGTGGCGTGGTATCGCCCAGGTTATTGCGGTTGGGGGTGCAATAGAGGTAGAAGGATTCAGTCATGCAGCTACGGTTCGTGATGAGTGCGCCCTGGGCACCACGGGCAGCTACAAGCGCCGGCGTCTGAGCAGAACAATGCGGCGGAGGGAGAGGAGGAGCCTTCCTGCGAGTTGTGTCGGCGCGTGGCGCAGTGAGGCACGTCTGAGGCACGATTGGTATCACAGTGGATGCAGGAGCACTGCAAAATGCGGCCGAGGCGGCGTGCGAGGGGGGCGACGAACGGGGTGCGCGCACACACCTCGAAACGATCGTCCGCAACAAATAGGCGAGCTGCACACGCTCCTCCTCGTTGATCTCCCATCCCTCCCTTGGGTTGTCTGTTTTCTTTCTTTCTTTCTTTGATCTCCGCCCTGTCGTTTGCTTCTTTGTGCTTCTCTCGTTTCTTTTGTTCTTCGACTATGTGTAAATCAAGCTCGAAATAAATATCCAATAAATACAACAATAAATAGAGGAGCCCCGCCGGCCGTTCCGACTACGTGAGCGCCTCCCCGTAGACGACGTTTTTTGTGCGGAAGATTCCATCGGTGTCGCGGTCCACCGCAAAACGGATGTCTGCGGGCAAGCCGACACGCGATGCAGCCACGTACAACTGGCCGTGGCCGAAGCAGGGACTGGGAAGGTAGACGCCGACGCGCTGTAGGGTCTGGCCCTGGGCCTTGTTGATCGTCATGGCGAAGGCGACTCTCACGGGGAACTGCCGCCGCGACCATGCAAAGGGCATGTTGTCGTCATCAGGAGACAGCTGTATGCGCGGGATGAAGACAACGTCGCCTCGGTGCTTGCCGGTCGCAATCTTGGCCTTGAGCAGCCGGCCGTTGATCACCTCGAGCACCAGGAGCCGCGTGCCGTTGCAGAGCCCTCGCTCGGGGGCGAGGTTGCGGAGCAGCATGATGGGCATGTTGGGCTTGAGGTCTATCTCGTGCTTGGGGAAGCCAGACGGGCTGACGAAGTTCAGGTTCTCTGTCCCCATCCGGCGATCATCCTCGGGGTCGCGGGCTCTATCGGCGCTTATGCACTTCCAGGCGCGGCCGGGGAATGCAGCGGCAATCGTGTCGTTAGCCTCGTCCACCACGTCGTTCAGCGGGGTGAGGATTGCACGCCCGGAGAGCCACTCGGTGTTGGTGCAGTTGCTCGCCAGGTTTGGGTAGACCCACTTGACCAAACGGCATCGACGGCCTCGTCGCGCTGGATCGGCGGCAGGTCGACTTGCCCTCCGCTGCAGCAAAACTTGCCGCCTTGCCATTTGGTCCCGTACTGACCAACTGCCTTGGCCCGCTTCGCCTCCTTTGGGAAGAGCAAGGCGCCGCAGTGCGTGCACATGTAGCGGGTCTCGCAGCCGCATCCGGTCGCCCCGCACACGCACTCGCCCATCTTCCCAATCGACACGGGCGTCGCCTTCTCGTGCGCCGAGCTGTTCCAAGCGAAGAGGTCGGCGGCGTTGCGGCCCACGCATTCCACACATGCAGCCTGCTGCTGCCGGCGTTCACGGCGGAAGGCGTGTCGGGCGCTGTGAAAATCGGTGTCGAGCTGGTCCAACGCCCCATGCCAAGGTTGGCCGAGCCGCGTCGAGAGCCAGACAAACTTCTCAAGTTGGTACAGCTCCCGATGAAGCGCGGAGCGGCCTGTCCCAACCGTCGGCGGCTCGGTCTCCAGTCGGGGCACAGTGGAGAAGCCGGCTCCGACACGCGCACGAAGCTGGAGAATGCGCAGCTCCATTTGGGCGCGCTTCCAGGCAGCTTTGGACAACGCTTTCTCCACGTCCTCCGGGGTGAGAGCGTAGTGGAGACCGTCGTCGACCGTCCGCACGATGAGCGCAGGCCCGCAGCCAGATGGCCAGGGCAGATCGCCGACGAAGGCGTCGATCACGCACTCGGTGCGGGCGAGGGAGTAGGTGGGCATGGCGGGACAGTTTGCAATTGACT